CGCTTCGATTGGGACAAAAAATGTGAAGAAGCATTTTCACAACTGAAGCAATATCTAACCACCCCTCAAATATTAGCAAAACTAGAAGATGGCGAGATTCTATACCTCTACATCGCAGTCTCAACAGCGGCAGTAAGCGGCGTCCTTGTTAGGGAAGACCGCGGCAAACAAAAACCAATTTTCTATATAAACAAGACTTTGGACGGGGCCGAAACCCGCTATCCAGCCTTAGAAAAACTCGCTTATACAGTAATCGTCTCGGCACGGAAACTACGACCCTACTTCCAATCTCACTCCATCATTGTCTTCACCAGTCAACCACTTCAAAGTATTCTGCATTGTCCGAGCCAATCTGGCCGGATGGCCAAATGGGCGATAGAACTTTCAGAATATGACATCGAATACCGCGCTCGAACTAGCGCCAAATCTCAAGTTTTAGCAGATTTTATGATCGAGATACTGCCGGATCTACTAAATGGGGAGTCGCCTACAGAGAGCCGATGGAATCTTTATGTGGACGGAGCATCTTCAAAGCAAGGGTCAGGAATCGGTATCTGTTTGAAATCACCAACCGGAGAGATTCTCGAGCAATCTTTCAAACTCAGTTTTCCCGCCTCAAACAATGAAGCCGAGTACGAAGCTTTACTAGCAGGTCTTCGACTCGCCCAAGAAGTGAAAGCAAAACATGTTCATGCCTTCTGCGATTCCCAGCTCGCCGCCAGCCAATATAGGGGAGATTACGACGCAAAGAACGAACGAATGGACGCATATCTTAAACAGGTTCAAGAAATAGCAAAACAGTTCGACTCCTTCGTACTAACCAAAATTCTGCAAGCTGAAAATACTGCTGCCGACGCACTGGCAGCATTGGCATCCACAACGGATCCTGCCCTCCGTCGAACGATCCCAGTGGAAATCATCGAGCAACTCAGTATTCAGCTATCGAAGGGATTCTGCAACGCAGTGTTACATCAAGATAACGAGGTGAACGATTCAATGGAGGAAGATGCTGAACAACAGAAGCAGCCTTGGCAAGACGAAATCAAATCCTACCTGTTAGAAGGGACGGTTCCGGAAGACAGATGGGCAGCTAGACGCCTCCGAAGAAAAGCAGCACAATATTTCATGGAAGAGAGAAACCTTTTTTGATGGACAGCGAATAAAGTAATATGCGATGCTGCGACAAGGCACAAGCCAAAAGAGTCATGATAGAAACCCATAACGGGGCAAGCGGAAATCATTCAGGAAGAAGAGCTTTAGCGTTAAAAATCAAGAAGCACGGTTTATTCTGGCCCATGATGATCCAAGATTGTGAACAGTTCACACTCCGGTGTGAACCATGTCAGAAATACACACCAGTCATCAACGCGCCTACCGAATTACTTTAGACTGCCGTTCCACCATATCCTTTCATGAGGTGGGCAATGGACGCGATCGGCCTGATGCCCAAGTCAGGTCGCAATCAGTACATCATGATGGTGACATATTACTTTACAAAATGGGTCAAGGCTAAAGCCTACCCCACCCTCAAAGAAATCGATGCCCAGCTCTTTATTTGGGAGTATGTCATATATCGGCACGGCTTCCCGTATGAGATCGTCACGCATAACGGCACACCATTCACCTCGTCAATTTTCTAAAGTTTCTGTGATAAATGGGGGATACGCATAAGTTATTCGACACCGTGCTACCCACAAGGCAACGGGCAAGCAGAAGCTTCTAATAAAACGATCCTCGACGGTCTCAAAAAACGGCTAAATGAACTAGAAGGGCGATGGGCGGATGAACTGGATGGAGTCCTCTGGTGCCATCAAACGACTCCACGAACTGCAACGGGAGAAACCCCTTTCTTACTATCCCACGGCTGTGAAGCTTTGGCACCTGCCGAAGTGCATGTACCTAGTGCTCGGCGATCCTTGATGATTCGAGATCCTCAATTGAACGAAGAAAAACTGATCGACGCAGTCGACAACGCGGAAGAGCTTTGTGATTAAGCCTTGTTACGAATTCAAAATTACCAGCAGCAAGTTTCTAGGTATTACAACAAGAAAGTCTGAAGCCGACAATTCTCACTTCACGACCTCGTCTTACAAAGAACCGTAAACCCATTAAAACTCGAGCCAAATTGGGAATGACCATATCGCATTACAGAAGTCGTCAAACCCGGCGTCTACAGACTAGAAGACATGAAGGGAGAGCCAGTCGAGCGAGCTCGCAATTCCATGAACCTAAGGAAATACTATACTTAAAAACCGTAAGCTCAGCGAAGAATGTACTACTAAGAACTACGAATGGCTTGATCCCACTTCGGGTACATAGGCAGCCTTCGGGTTCAATCATTGTCTAAATAAAATTATCTTTCGTAAAACCTTCTCAGCTCGGCAAAAAGAGCAATATTTTCTTGTGCGAATGCATCTTGCTGAATCGATGTTCTAGCCAACCATTCGATTTAAGAGAGCAAGCAAACTAAATTAGTGGCTGATCACCACTCCTTTGATACTTCGGTTCGCTTTAATTACCTTCAAAGTAGATAAGACGAAAGCCGAGGACAATACTCGCACGACCCTCGATCATACCTTTCGGACCAAAGAGAATTCTGAAAGCTTGGTATTCGATCATGAATGTCGTTTGGTATAAGACTAGCTAATGAATCTCGCTTCCAGCACCGGCCTAAAGAATGCCCATGCATCACAAGATAAAATAATTTTTTTGACTTCCCAAAAACCTTAGAATTAAGATCTAACTCGTAAAAACGAGTACGAAACGCAACACAATAAGTAAATCTTATCCATTGATAAAAAGAAAACAATTTTTGTCTTACAATAAAAAAACAAACAAAAAGCCACTACAAAACCCTACGCCGCCTCGGCAACCGGATCTCTGCTGCTGTTAATTCGGCATCAAGAGGGCGCATATGAACACGCGTAGGCGCAGCAAAATTGTTTGCGGAAATTGGAGCATCCTTTATGCTGTGACGCTCCATCTTCAAACGGTCAGCTGCGGCAGAATGACATAAGAGCTCTTCAACTGGAATCTCGTGTCCTGCCGACCTGAGCTGCTTATAACAATCCACCCTCGCCTCGGCATCGACAATCCAAAGTTCCAGCCGATGAATGTCGGGCTCTTGCGCCATGAATCTCTTAATCCGCTCGATGCAAGGATCATACCACTCGCGGAGATGCCGATACACTAGATCCACCACGCGATCAACTGAGATGTGCTGGTGATCCCGGAACTCCTTTTCCTTAGCAGTCGCGTTCTTAACTTCCTCAGCCGCTCTCTTCTCAAGATTTTCCTTGAGAAGTCTTATCTCTTTAGCAGATTCAATCTCAAGCGACTTATAGTCAAGCTCTAACTTGAGCTTCTCGCGCTCAAGATCCTTGATCTTCGCCAAAGCACTGCGAAGCTCTCGATCTTTTTCCAACAAATCCTTGGCTCAATTCTCCTCCCATACGGATTCTTTATCGTATGACTCAACCAGCGACGCGCATAAACCTAAACCCTGCATAAAACGTTGCGCCATCCCGGAAAACAAAAAAATCGCTTCAATCTCTCCACTGACATCCCTTGGTTAGGCTTCGCCCTACATGACCAAGCCAAATTTGCTGCAAAGTACTCATTAAATATCGCTGGAGAATCCCCGCCCCAACGAAGCAGGAATTCGTGAGGATTGATGCCAGGCTCATCACCAGTATCCACCGGTTCTTTCGGCAAAATGCCTTTCGGACCCAACGGACTAAAAGCCTACTCTTCGGCCGTTACAAAAATAAAGCCTTCTTCTTCAACCGGCACCTCTACCCCTGAATCTTCTGCTGGAGTTCCCGAAGGTGACCTCTCTTTCGCCGGATCTTGCGATGGACCTTCCGATCAAGGCTTCTTACACGAAGAAAAATCGGGAATATCCACATCCAGCAAGGGAATTTTGCTTCTCTTCCTTAAACCCATATCGTTGTCAAGAGTTGAAGAGAAATTAATGGAGCAAAAAGAGAAAAATCAACGTAGAAATCGGCAAGAAATTTTCTAAAAGCAAGAAGACGAGAAGATAGAAATAAACAATTAAATCGGAAAGAAATATCAACGATTTCCTAAAAAAACGCGTGTCAGGATTTTTGCAATCTCGCCGCTTGGCAAAAACCCTTCGCCTTTCCCGTTTAAAGGGCAAAACCCTAGCACGGGCCAGAATATTAAATAAATATTTCCAAGAAAGCGCCGCGCATCAACTTCACTTAAAAATGGGCCGAACTGGCCATCACAAAGCAACAGTCTCGACGAACTAACGCTTATTGCGAGATCAAACCAATTTCCAATATCATGAAGATCGCCGATCTGATTTATAATCAGTCTCGCCGAAATGGGGGGAGGGGGGGGGGGACTTGCTGTTAGAGGAAAAATGAGCACATTTCTTAAAAGGCTTCCTCTAGAAATAACCTAAGCCCATTGGAACTATGAAGACCGCGCCGACCTAGCTCGGACTAAAGAGAATACCCTAGGAATAACTATCAAAGACCGAAAACATTGGATTAACTCGAAGGATAAAGGAGAATTTCCATATTTTTCGGAGAATAAAAGATATTTCCATATCGTAAATATGGAAATATTCACGAAAGACAAAAAAGAAAAGGAGTTCGGAACAACCGACCTCCTATTCCTATAAATACAGAGACCCCGAAGCCTGGAGGGACAACTCATACAATCTACAGAGCAACAGAGCTAAAACCAGAGACTCCAACGCTATCTAGTTCACTTCGCAAATACTCTTTTCACTTCGGCATAACCTTTCGGTTATCACATTCTTTGTAATCGTTTCGCTTTATTGCTATTAATAAAAGACCTTATTCTTTGAAACCCACAACTGTTAATCAAAACTCTAGTGGTGATTTTCTGGTTTAACATAAACGTAACAGGAGTGAGAGCTATTCAGTGAAATATACTTTAGTTAGATAATTTAATTTTAGTTAGAAAAAAGAAATTAAACCACTAGAAAATAAGTAAATGTTAAATATGGTATCTAAGAATATCTAAGAAGTTCTCCTTTGATGCTTTCCTTTTTTTTTTTTTCATTATTTAATGCTTTAGATACCTTCCCTCATTCCATTGATGGAGGTGCTCATATATCCACTACCAATGCAAATCTGCATCTTCATGTGATGTGATCACCACTAAACATATATAATACAGTTCACAGTCATACGCATTCCTTCTGGCATCTAAAAACTCTGAAGTCTGAACTACAACCAAAGGACCATCTCTGCTCTCTACAGGTGCAATACGGCTCACAGAGGCATACACGCCGTGTGATCCCTTGAAACCTTGAATTACAATCAGATTACAATCGGATCATCATTGAAGTCAAGGCGAAAGATTTCTTGACGGCCGAACTCAATCGACATGATTTCACCAGGACTCTTTTTGTGTGTAATGCGAAAGTGGTTGTTGAGATCCTTGTAGGAACCGATGTAGTTACAGTCCAGTACGGGACATGAGCATGGGGTAAAAAGACACAGCTTCGCATGGCTTGCTTCTTCTTTTCCATATGTAGCGATCTGTTTACACCCGTGTTTTGCATTGGGACATGAGACTACGCATGTTTTTATGACCTTCTCCATGGCTCTGCATCGAATGTCACCGGTAGGCAATGCGCAAAAGAAACATCTCTTCTTCAATTTGGTGCAACACGCCGAACAAGCCAGATGGCCATTATTACACTAGACGCAATAACACCAAAGCAACAATACTTGGAATTAGGACAATTATTGTAGCTTAAGCAAACCAAAATAAAAACTTGTTTTATCTGATAGAAGGATAATTAATAACCAATTAAAGATGAAAACTGTGACATTTTTTTCTGAACTTAGCTCACAAATGTTGTTGTCGTGTGCAATTTCATTAACCTAATCAATCGTACAAAACAAAGGGTGTTCAATCAAAGAAATAGGACCAAACCTGAAAGATAGGCTTCCTCAATGGCTCGAAGCAATTAGGGCAGTCGAGAACGTCAGAATCCGGCAGCGTTAGGGATTTGGGTGGTGAAAGCCTTCGTGGTCTTCTTGATCGAAGAAGCTCTGCGTATGTTTTCTCGTCCTCGGAGTCGCTATCATCACTCAGCACCACTAGCTCTCTTTCACGGCTCTCGCTTGAGCCATTTTGAAATTCTACTTCGGTTTCTTCCCCGGAACTTGAGTCGTCGTCGTCAGATTCTTCTTCCCCGGAACTTGAGTCGTCGGAAGATTCTTCTTCAGAAACAGAAGGAAGGCGTTGCTTCTTCGAGGAGCGGCAGTCGCGGGCTCTTCCTCCGCTGTCACGCCTCGGCGATATCGTCGTCATCTCTCTGAATCCGCTCCTTACGCAGACATTATGTCTGTTTTGGCGTTTCAAATACTCAATCCTTTTGAATATATATGTAATTTATCAATCAATACAGCATTTTTAGTATTTGGCCAAAAAAAAAATCAATATTTTTAGTAAACAAATTCGTTCAAATCAAAAAAATATATTAGAATTTTTATAAATTAATACTCAATAAATTATAAATACATCAATAAAATAATAGTTTTACCAATTTTTAAATCAGTTGATCAACTAAATAATATCAATTTTAAAATTAGTTGATCAATCAAATAATATATCTTTATAGATTAATGGTCTTAACATTAATAATTTATAAAAGTTTTATTATACGATACAAAAATATTTTTTTTTCAAAAACTGTCTAATTTACAAGTCAATCTCTGATTGGTAACATATTTTTTTTACTGTCGAATTGAATTGGTAGAAAAAAAGAATTGCTGAATAATTTAATGCTGAATACATTTTTTAACATGATTGGATAAATTATGCAGGATGGAAAAATATGATTATTTAAAAATATTTTTAATATTATCTATGATAAAAAATAAAATATTTAATAATTCAATTAACTATTATAAAATAATATAATTCTTATTATAATTTTTTACAATTTTTTTAAAATAAAAAAGTATATAAATTTTTTAAAATATTGCAAACTTTAAATAATAGACATAAATTTATTGTTAAATATTTTTTTGCAACACCAAATTATTTATTTATATTTATTTAAATAACAAAATATAATTAATTATATAATAAATTATATAAACATTGAATCTGTAAATAATCTATTTCAAACACACTTTTTCGCATAATAAAGATTTCTTTATAGTTTTGGTAGAGAAAATCTCAATAATACTACTCTAGTTATATTACTTTTCATAAGTAACACAAAGCGCTGATCATTTTTAAATATACCACTAACCCAAAAGCTAATTGACTAATCTACCCTACAAATTGAAATCAAAAATCAAAAGTCGTAAGTTTCGATGAAGAATACGAATAGGAAACACAAATCCTATTCATGGCGTAGAAGATAATTATCGAAGAAGGAGAAGTATAGAGTCTGGTGAACGAAGATCCACGAGCGATGATAGTGATCATTGAGGAGGAAAGAGGATTTGGGGAATCCATAAACAGTTAGATTTCTTTGATGATTAGGCGCTTTTTTCCTTACTTTTGGATCCATATGTTCTTAATTTCCCCAATTTCTGCGAGCAACTAGTTATTAAGGATTTCCGTCTTTCAGGTTTGGTCCTTCTCATGATTGCAAGCACGTTGGTTTCAGAATCTTGTTTAGGTAAAGAGTCCTCGCTAAGAATATGATAAAGAAAAGTTACATGTTAGTGAAACCATAACTTATGTAGCTTGGAGAAATACATATAGGATCGATCTTACCCAAAAATGGGATTACTCGATTCAAGTTCTTCTGGAAATCAAAATTTTTTCTAGCTAAGTTAATTTATGAATCTAAAGATTTTTCAGGGTTTATAAAAGTTCCCCAAGTATTTAAAAGTTCCCCAAGTATATGTTCTATTCTATCTTAAAAATAAGTGTACATGTTTACAATTAGTATCTGATTATATACTTGTTTACAATTACTATCTGATTATATAATTTATGTATCTAAGGATTTATCAAGGTTTGCTTTTGATTCTGTGAATCATATTTTTATATTAAACTATTTTCTAAAAGTTTGAAGATGATGGAAGGTGCAGATTGGAGAAATTGTGGAGGAATGAGAAGCTTTTTGCTAATGAGGCAGCAGCATACATTCCATTTCATAGTCTTAGAGAAGCTGCCATGGATCTAGAGATCTTACTATAACCAAATACACCAACTTACATGATCGTCATCAATAACAATCATAATTGCCACACAGGTGTGTGTGTGTGTCTCTCTCTTTGTTTACTGTTTTGATCATCAAAAAAAATTTGATTCTCTTAGAGCATAGCTGTTTAGAGTTTGAGCTCGCCATTCCTCTTATTGATGTTGTTGTATTTGCACACCTTGAACTATGTGTGTCTGTTCTCCTGGGGCATGAACCCTCCTGGAGCTAACGGATCTTGTTTCTCATTGACTTGAAAGCTCTAAAATATGTAGAGTAGCAGTGGCATCAATAATATGCATATCCCAACATCACCAATGTCGTTCTCATTGAATAACATTCACATTCTGATCTCATTAGTTCTTAATGGGTCTGTTTCAGTGCAGAGCACTTGTCTCAGCACAGCATGGACAAGTACAACGTTAAGCAAGACATTCACTTCCAATGACATAAACAATTATTTCCACAAGGAAGAAGACGTGTACAACAGCAGATTTTACAACATTCGTTTCAACTTCATTGAGATATGCGTTCTTGAAGGAATCTGCAGTTGCAAGCTTTGCTTCACACCAGAGACTGAGGCAAAATCAGATGAGTTGTTCTTTCTTTGGAAACTGCAGATGTATAACCAATATGATACCTGAAACTAATAATCATGGAACTTGTAGAGGCATAATGTGTATTATTTATTTATAAAGATTTAAAAGAAGGTTCTTAAATCTTTATTAAAATTCAATGAGAGTTAAACTATTGATCATTGCTAATAGCCAAATACTAACCAAAAAGAAATTGAGTTTGACCTCTGTGTAACAAAACTCTCTCAGGCCCGAGTTTCTAGATAGTTTTCAACCACCTAGTTTTGACTTCTGTTTACATTTTACTTCCCGGTTTTTTTCCTAAAATAGAAAGTTTTTCTTCCAAAACCGCTTCTGGTATTTGTCTCTCCGGGGTTCTACCCCCGACTTCGGAGTCGGAGCGTCCGCTTTTACACAGCTCCTGCTACAACGGCTTGACATACCCTTATATCATCTACGGGCCTGCGTTAACCCGGCAAACTGCTCTCAAACTGCTCTCATCTATTTGGTGTAGAGCGCTCTTGTCCACCTCAAGCAACCAGATCTACACAAGGTTCTCATAGCCTGCAGCAACGGAAGGTGACTCAGAGATCTTGGCTTCGAAGAAGGTGGCTTAAGATCTCAAGCCCCTACTTTCTTCAGCTCTCCTGCTACAGCTAGTGGGTGTTTCTCTTTTCGTCTACGGGCCTGCGTTAACCCGGTAAACTGCTCTCACCTTTTTGGTATAGAGATCGTAAGTTCCTCCACCCAAGTAGATCTTGTTTTCTGCCTGCATCCCCCAACAATGGCTCGACGTATACCATACGCAGAGAAAGGAAAAGGAATAGCGGTCCCTAACGATCCTCCAAGATCTGGAAGAGTAAGGGTCCCAGATTTTGATAATTCTGAGCTAATCCGAAAGCACTCACTCACTCTATTGGGCCGTGTAACAAACCCGAAGGTCCAGAGACCTTGGTCGCTTATCCCCATCCTGGAAAACCACTGGAAAACTTCTTCTCGGCCAGTAGGAGCGGACCTCGGACAAGGTCTGTTTCAGTTCCAGTTTGCAAACGAGGAGGATCTTCAAATGGTTCTGGAAAACAGACCATATCACTTTGCCCGCTGGATGTTAATCTTACAAAAATGGGAACAAACTGTGTCTGCCTCCTTCCCCTCTCAGATCCCGTTCTGGATCCGGGTCCAAGGAATCCCGATTCACCTGTGGAATGAAGCTACGTTAAGAAGCATAGGAGAAGATATTGGTTTTTTTGAATGCTGGGAAATAACCGCCTCTTCTGCTAGGATGAGAGTCCATGTTAATGGTCTGCTACCTCTTATAACTTCATCCTGCATGGAATTCTCAAACGGAGATGTGGTTATGGCCACCCTAGTGTATGAGAAGCTAGAGAAGCACTGCCGAAAATGTCTTAGACTTGACCATGAGGAATCTTCTTGCCCTGACGTCTCTATTCGGGTACCACCTGGTAATCCTCCACATACTTCTCAGAGAATGGACGTTGGCAGCCAAACCTCCTCCAGACAAGGAAGGTTTCCACCTACAAAAGTCTCTCAGTCAAAATCCCCTCTAAGGAATAGAAACTTTACACAAAGGAGTCATGGTAACTCAAGAGTTCAGTATGACTCATATCACTCACCTAGCCTCCAAAAGAAAATATATGGGAATCGAGGCATCCTTTCTAGAGAGCCCTCTGTCAGGTCGGGCTATCAGAGAGACTCCTATAGACACAATGAAAGTCATCGCCTCCAACCATCTAGATGGGTTGAAACAGGGAAAACTCTCAAATCACCCTCAACTTCGACCTTTGCTGAAAAAAATAGGGAGAGACCCAGTCATACAGGGGAGACAAAGGATAAAGACAACACTAATGAGACTGACTCTCACCTCATCGGCCGTAATGATGTAGAATCACCAAGCTCAAGAGGCCGAATCCACAGACCTGCAGCACCTCAAAGGCAAAGCCCTATTGAGATTCCTCAATCGGCGTTTAATGAAGCACTAGGCGAGCTGCGAGAGGTAATGATCCAATACTCAAACTGCGCTGATCCCTCTGAATCTGCGGCAAGGAAAGAAAGATTGAGGCTTGCGGAAGAACAAGGCCAAATGGAGGAGACGGCCACTCAAATGGTTATGGCTTCCCTGGCTGCTCATCATATGGCTGAAACAGATGATGTTGACCTGCCTATTACCCCAAGAATCCCAGCAGCGCTTGGTCTAGGACCGCCAGTCCCTGAAAGACTACCTGCAAAGAAGAGATTAGGACGACCACCAAAAATAGCAAAAACGGCTACATCAACAAAAGAAATTGTAGGAGCAAGCTCAAGAAAAAGAAAAGTTGCACAAACAAAAAGCTCCCCCCCGACGTAAGCATAAAGTGAGTCGAAATCTAACATCAGTCTCAACGGGACCCTTAAAGGCTGCTAGTTCCCGGAGCAAGAACCCCCGGACAGGGGAGAGCTCACAAGCAGCTGACCCTCCGAGTAGCACGTTTATTCCTGCAATAGTAAAGAGGAAGATGGATTTTCAGAATCCATCCAATCCTCTTCCTTAAAAATTGCTTGTTGGAACTGTCAAGGGTTGGGGAATCCCTTGACAGTTCAGAGGATCAGAGAGATACGC